CCGCCGCCGCCAACGGCCTGCCGGCCGCGAGGGAGCACCTGGGCGTCCTGGGCCCGCCCGAGGCGCCAGGACGCCAGGCGGCGCTGCCCGAGCCCGAGCAGTTGGCGCGCAGGCCGCCACCCTCCACCGAGCTGCGAGGCGTCCAGGACTACATCGACATGCGCAAGGAGCGCATCGTCTACCTTTTCCTGGAGCACTGGCGCAAGTGGACCTTCCGCGGCCCCGGGCGCCACGCCCAGGTGCGCCTGCGCAGACTGCTGCCCCGCGTGGTGGCCGCAGGCGCCGACCCCGGCCCGGAGGCAGCCGACGCCTCCCAGCCGCCGGCGGGCGATGGCCCGGACGAGCGGCTGCTGCGCCTGCTGAAGCAGCGGCAGGTGGTGGGCAAGCTGCTGGGCCACTGGCGGAGCCTGCTGCGGCAGGTGCCGGCGCGCCCGCCTCGCGGCCCGGGCCTGGCACACGGCTTATACTGGCCCGAGCACTTCTTGCCGCCCCTCGACGGCGGCGCGCCCCGGCGCTACGACAGCCTCACGCTCGACCTCTTCATGCTCGGCTACTTCCAGCTGCTCGAAATGGGCCTGAGCCGCGAGGAGCGCAAGTTTCGCCACCTGCTGTGCTACGAGATGTTCGACCGGCTGGGCAGCCACCCTTGGGAGCTCATCCGTCTCTTCCACCGCGTGGTACTCGAGGAGGTGGAGGCCGGCCGGCGCGGCTGGAGGGACGGCTTCGAGGACCTCAGGCGCCAGTTCTTTGGAGACACCCCGGAGGCTGAGCCGGCCCGGGAAGAAGAGGTGGAGAAAGAGCAAAAGGAAGGGACAGATAAGGAAGAGAGGGAGCCGACCGAAGAGGCCGCTCCAGCTCAGACGGGCGACTGGCCAGAAGGGCAGCCAGAGACGCCGGCCCCTGCGCCGCAGCCCCCGTCCCCGCCCCCGCCAGCCGCGCCTCCCCCGACGTCGGACCCTCCTAGTTCCGAGGCCCCCGCCGAAGAACCCCTGGAGCTGGTATCTGAGATGGGCGAGTTCAGCAATGAGGACATCTGCCGGTACATCGACCGCAGCTTCTCCTTCTGGAAGGAGAAGGAGGCAGAGCTTTTTGACATCTGAGCCGCAGAATTCGGAATTTACCCTCAAGCGTCTTAACCCGGGCCTGGATGCCTGTCTGATGCCCTCCGGAGGTCAGAATACGGCAGGAAGAAACCAGGACAGGACGAGTGGCCTTGGAAAAGCCAGAGTGCCCAGAACCAGGCTGCCTCAGCCTTTGAGATCCCACGGTGGCCGGTTGTGGGGTGTTGGCCGGAATGGGCAGGGCACGGCACGGAGCCAGCCAGGTGTCCCCCTCTGGCTCTCCAGCGATGCCTGGCTCCGTGTGGAGCCAGGTGGAAGCAGCAGCCCCTCTGAGTGCGGGACTGTGGGTCCCCCTCGGGGCAGTGGGGCTCTCTTTCTTTCTTTGGTTTTTCACTGGAGTTCATAGCTACCTCTTTGGCTGAGGTCAAGGGAGCCACATGTGCAGTGTTCGTGTGACGTGTCCAGACCCTTTCTTCTCTGTAACATGCAAGTAATAAAACACTTTGCTGTGAGCTGCCTGTGTTGGATGCCCCCACCCCCATGTCATTGCAGCCACACGATTGCAGAGCTAGCGTCTACCCACTCTCAGAATAGGACAGGCGTGGAACAGAAGTTCCTTCACAGTGGGACCAGGGACCGGCCTGAGCCTCTCTGAGCAGGCAGGATCTGTGGAGGCCCAAGTATGAGTCTGCCCAGACATTCTGGGCCAGGGGCCTGGAGCCATCTATCCACCCCACCCCACCCCCCGCCCCCCACCTTGGGGAGTCTCCCCCTCTGCTCCTCTCCTACGCCTCCTACACTCAGCTCTGACCTCTCTGGCGCCGCCTCGGGGACACCGGGGCCTGAGTCCTCATCCATTTGCCCTATAGAAGGGCATCCAAAGAGTCTCTTCCTGCGACCCCATCTGTGTCCCTTTGTCCCTGACTCATGCAGCTCCCCTGGGCGGGGGAACTCCCCCGCTGACCCCGTGTCCCAGCCCATGCTGGCCCTGAAGCCTTGTGCTGTGTTTCAGGAGAAGGAGGAGGAGGCCTGGCTGGCCAGCATGCCCGCCTGGAGGCGGGACATCCTACGGAAGAAGCTAGAAGAGGAGAGGTGAGCTGAGGAAGATGCGGGGCTTGGCAGGGTGTCTTGATCGTGTCCCTGAGGTGGTGGCACCAACTAACACCATCTCTTTTCTTCCAGGGAGCAGAAGCGGTGAGTGTGGGGCTGGGCCCAACCTGTATCCCCTCCCCCCACCCAGTCACAGTCCTTTGGCCCCTTCCTCCAGCCCCAATCTTGAGCGCATCCCCTTGTCACTCAGCCCTGTTAGCACAGTGTCTTTGCTCCCAGTAATGCCACCAGACCCCTCTCCCCCAGGAACTTACCCACTGCACCTCAAAGTCTTGCTCTTACGCTGTAATGACCTGTCCCCAATTACCCAGCCCCCATCTCCCGTTAACCTAGCCTTTCTGCCTTGCAGTTAACCCAACCTCAGTATCGATAACCTAGACCATATGTCCCTCAGATCTTTAGTTTCTGCCCTTAGTAATCTAGCTGAGTGCTGTCTGATAGATGTATAAGTTGAGCCACATATGTAATATTAAATTCCTAGCCGCCACAGTGAAAAAATAAAAAGATGAGTGAACCGACGTCTATCTTAGTCTTAGTCTATCTTACTTAGACTTAGTCTATCTTACTTAACCCAATAATAATAATTATGAAAATCATTGAGATGTCTTACACTCTTTTTTAAAACTAAGTCTGTGAGATGGGATGAGCATTTGCACCTACGGTGTGTCTCAGTCCCGACATTTCATATGCTCAACAGCCACACGTGCTTAGCGGCTATCTCACGAGCGGCTGCTGCGCCTGCTGAAGCAGCGGCAGGTGGTGGGCAAGCTGCTGGGCCACTGGCGGAGCCTGCTGCGGCAGGTGCCGGCGCGCCCGCCTCGCGGCCCGGGCCTGGCACACGGCTTATACTGGCCCGAGCACTTCTTGCCGCCCCTCGACGGCGGCGCGCCCCGGCGCTACGACAGCCTCACGCTCGACCTCTTCATGCTCGGCTACTTCCAGCTGCTCGAAATGGGCCTGAGCCGCGAGGAGCGCAAGTTTCGCCACCTGCTGTGCTACGAGATGTTCGACCGGCTGGGCAGCCACCCTTGGGAGCTCATCCGTCTCTTCCACCGCGTGGTACTCGAGGAGGTGGAGGCCGGCCGGCGCGGCTGGAGGGACGGCTTCGAGGACCTCAGGCGCCAGATCTTTGGAGACACCCCGGAGGCTGAGCCGGCCCGGGAAGAAGAGGTGGAGAAAGAGCAAAAGGAAGGGACAGATAAGGAAGAGAGGGAGCCGACCGAAGAGGCCGCTCCAGCTCAGACGGGCGACTGGCCAGAAGGGCAGCCAGAGACGCCGGCCCCTGCGCCGCAGCCCCCGTCCCCGCCCCCGCCAGCCGCGCCTCCCCCGACGTCGGACCCTCCTAGTTCCGAGGCCCCCGCCGAAGAACCCCTGGAGCTGGTATCTGAGATGGGCGAGTTCAGCAATGAGGACATCTGCCGGTACATCGACCGCAGCTTCTCCTTCTGGAAGGAGAAGGAGGCAGAGCTTTTTGACATCTGAGCCGCAGAATTCGGAATTTACCCTCAAGCGTCTTAACCCGGGCCTGGATGCCTGTCTGATGCCCTCCGGAGGTCAGAATACGGCAGGAAGAAACCAGGACAGGACGAGTGGCCTTGGAAAAGCCAGAGTGCCCAGAACCAGGCTGCCTCAGCCTTTGAGATCCCACGGTGGCCGGTTGTGGGGTGTTGGCCGGAATGGGCAGGGCACGGCACGGAGCCAGCCAGGTGTCCCCCTCTGGCTCTCCAGCGATGCCTGGCTCCGTGTGGAGCCAGGTGGAAGCAGCAGCCCCTCTGAGTGCGGGACTGTGGGTCCCCCTCGGGGCAGTGGGGCTCTCTTTCTTTCTTTGGTTTTTCACTGGAGTTCATAGCTACCTCTTTGGCTGAGGTCAAGGGAGCCACATGTGCAGTGTTCGTGTGACGTGTCCAGACCCTTTCTTCTCTGTAACATGCAAGTAATAAAACACTTTGCTGTGAGCTGCCTGTGTTGGATGCCCCCACCCCCATGTCATTGCAGCCACACGATTGCAGAGCTAGCGTCTACCCACTCTCAGAATAGGACAGGCGTGGAACAGAAGTTCCTTCACAGTGGGACCAGGGACCGGCCTGAGCCTCTCTGAGCAGGCAGGATCTGTGGAGGCCCAAGTATGAGTCTGCCCAGACATTCTGGGCCAGGGGCCTGGAGCCATCTATCCACCCCACCCCACCCCCCGCCCCCCACCTTGGGGAGTCTCCCCCTCTGCTCCTCTCCTACGCCTCCTACACTCAGCTCTGACCTCTCTGGCGCCGCCTCGGGGACACCGGGGCCTGAGTCCTCATCCATTTGCCCTATAGAAGGGCATCCAAAGAGTCTCTTCCTGCGACCCCATCTGTGTCCCTTTGTCCCTGACTCATGCAGCTCCCCTGGGCGGGGGAACTCCCCCGCTGACCCCGTGTCCCAGCCCATGCTGGCCCTGAAGCCTTGTGCTGTGTTTCAGGAGAAGGAGGAGGAGGCCTGGCTGGCCAGCATGCCCGCCTGGAGGCGGGACATCCTACGGAAGAAGCTAGAAGAGGAGAGGTGAGCTGAGGAAGATGCGGGGCTTGGCAGGGTGTCTTGATCGTGTCCCTGAGGTGGTGGCACCAACTAACACCATCTCTTTTCTTCCAGGGAGCAGAAGCGGTGAGTGTGGGGCTGGGCCCAACCTGTATCCCCTCCCCCCACCCAGTCACAGTCCTTTGGCCCCTTCCTCCAGCCCCAATCTTGAGCGCATCCCCTTGTCACTCAGCCCTGTTAGCACAGTGTCTTTGCTCCCAGTAATGCCACCAGACCCCTCTCCCCCAGGAACTTACCCACTGCACCTCAAAGTCTTGCTCTTACGCTGTAATGACCTGTCCCCAATTACCCAGCCCCCATCTCCCGTTAACCTAGCCTTTCTGCCTTGCAGTTAACCCAACCTCAGTATCGATAACCTAGACCATATGTCCCTCAGATCTTTAGTTTCTGCCCTTAGTAATCTAGCTGAGTGCTGTCTGATAGATGTATAAGTTGAGCCACATATGTAATATTAAATTCCTAGCCGCCACAGTGAAAAAATAAAAAGATGAGTGAACCGACGTCTATCTTAGTCTTAGTCTATCTTACTTAGACTTAGTCTATCTTACTTAGACTTAGTCTATCTTACTTAACCCAATAATAATAATTATGAAAATCATTGAGATGTCTTACACTCTTTTTTAAAACTAAGTCTGTGAGATGGGATGAGCATTTGCACCTACGGTGTGTCTCAGTCCCGACATTTCATATGCTCAACAGCCACACGTGCTTAGCGGCTATCTCATCAGAGGTAGTGCCGATCTAGCCATGGTCTAATAACCTGCCCCTAATCACCCAGCCCCTGTCTCCCAATGATGTGGCCCCTCTGTTCCCCAGCAGCCCAACCCCAGTCCCCAGGAACTCGGGTCCTAGCCCCTGCACCACGCCCTCCTCGCACCTGTTTCCAGTAACACCCCCAGCCAGCAATAACCCAGCTACAGCCTCTCACTTTCCCAGCTCCTGTGTGTCCCCCAGTGACCCCAGTCTGCCCCCAGTCAAGCTCCTCTGTCCCCAGCAATCCTGCCCACATGCCTCCTAACCCACCCGCTGTCCCCAGTCACCTTCTACCCCTACAACCCATTGCCCTGCCCACCATTCATGAGTGCCTCTGTCCCCAGCAACCCAGCCCCTGCCCTCAGTAACCCACTCCTTGCCACCGGTGACCCCCCCCCCCAAATGGGGCCTGGCCCACCCTCTCACCCTTGCCCGGGACTGTGCCCCCCACCCCATGCCCAGGAAAGAGGAGGAACGACAGAAGCAGGAGGAGATGCAGCGGGAAAAAGAGCAGTCGGAGAAGCTGCGGACGCTCGGCTACGACGAGAGCAAGCTGGCGCCCTGGCAGCGACAGATCATCCTGAAGAAAGGGGACATCGCTAAGTACTAGACGCCGCCCTCCTGCTCGCAGCCTCGCGAGCTTGGGGCCGCCCCCAGACCCCGCCCCGGCCTGCCAGGCCCGGGCCGAAGGGCTGGGAGCCGCGCCGCCCTCCCCTCCCGCGCTGGAACCCCTCCTTGACCCCTACCCCGGGCACCCCCCTTCCCCCGCACCCGCATCCCCAGCCCCGGGCGACGCTGGAGCGCGCCCGCCGCCGCAGTCGCCCAGAAAAAGTGCCCAAGCTGTTGACGCAAAAAGACGCTGCTTATTTGCATGCCTACTTACATATATTTGCATGTTCGTTGAAAGTCAAAGTGTGCAGCGCTCTCCCCAGCCCCGTGGGTGGTGACCTTGGTTTCCCGCGGGTCGCGCGCCCTGCTGCCGCCCCCTCCCCTGCACCCCGGAACCCGCGTCGCTGGCGCATCCTGGGCGGAGGCAGGCCCCGCGCTCGGGGAAGGGGTTTTCCTCTCTCCCTGACCCAGATCAGCGCCCGGCCCAGCCCCGGCCGCATTTCCCATCCCCGCCGAGGGTTTCCTCTCAGTCATTTGTTTACCAGAAACGATGAAAACTGCAAACTGCCCGTCGGGACAGAGCTGCCGCTCCCGGCGCCCCACCTCCAAGTCTGCGCGCCGTCCCCAGCCAGGCCCCGCACTCCCCGGACGCTTTCACGGTCCTGGTGGAGTGAGTGGAGGACGAGGGATCCTGAAGCTGTGTCTCCAACTGCTGCCTCCCCGGTCCCCGCCATCTCGCACCGCATTAAAGCTCTCTCAGCCGCCCGGGGCTCACGCTCGCTCTAACTCGTCGTCACCGCGACTTCCTGTCCTCGGGGTAACTGGGCCACGGCGGAGCCGGAGGGGCAGGCTTGGGCTAAGGGCCACACTGGCCTCCGCCGTGGGTGGCAAGACTTCTGGCCCTTTCGACGCCCCTGGGAAAACCAAGCCTGGGCCACTTAACACCCCCAGTCCCGCGGAAACACCAAGCAGCAGCTTTTCTTCATAGATTTTAATAATACCAAGGCCTCAGCCAAACACAGGCCGAGAAACAGCTGATGGTCGTTGGCGCTTCCTCGCCTTAACTGGAACCCTGGGGGCGCGCAGGGGTGATGCTGGCTGGCGCTGCTACGCAGGGCCGTGCCAGGGGCTTAATAAGTGACATTAAATGTCTACACGCATAAGTAACCGTACTTAGGGCTTCTGCAAGGGCCACCAGAGCCTCGAAGTGGCGGGTGGGCCCCGGCGTCACGGGCCACGCTGCAGGCGGCTCCGCAGGTCCTCGGCGCAGCCGTCCAGCCCCATGCGCTCCAGGGCGGCGTAGACGGCGCCCAAGCCCGCGGGCTGCTGCTGGCGCCAGCGCTTGAGCATCTCGTACTGCTGGTCGCGGAAGCGCCCGACCTCCACCTCCACCGCCTCGATCTCCGCCTCGCGCAGCCCCAGCGTGCGCACGAACTCCTTCCAGCGCCGCGCGGGCACCGCGTCCATCACGGCGTAGAGCTGCGGGCCCGGCTGGAGCATGGCGGCCGCCGAGCCTGCAGGGGGCGCCGGCGAGGGCGGGGGCGGCGGGCCTGCGGCCAGAGAGAGCCAATGGGGAATGTGGGCAGGGGCCAAGGGGCAGGGGCCCCGCCGGGCAGGGAGGTCCGCCTGGTCAGTTAGGGGACGGGAAGTGGGCAAGTGGCCTCCAGAAAGCACAGCTTATTTATCACCTTGGACTCAGGAGAATGGGGTCAAGGCCTCAGGCCCCTGAAATCCCTTACCAAGACCTCTGCTGGGCAGCTGGTCCCAGGACCATGTCACCTCCGGGCAGGGGGCCTCCTGGGCCTGGGGAGAGCCAGAGGTCCAGCTGCTGCCTATCAGCTGGATGGTGCAGACCTTCTCACTGCTGCTGGGTGTTACAAGAAGGGTGGGGCTGCTGTCCGGGGCTGAGAGGTGGGTGGCCTGGAAGCCAAGAGAGGCCCCAGGTCAGCCTCGCTTGCCTGGCTCTAGGGTCTCTGGCCAGGGGTGGGCATCCCTGGCTCAGTCAGCAAACATCACCCGGTGGCACCTCCCCCGGTGGCCGTGCTCTCTCACTGTGACCCAGCAGAAGAGCTATCCTGCCTGGAACGCCCTGCCCCTGCTGCCCTCTCCTTGTTCCGCCAATCCTGGTAGAGGCCTCACCGTGGTGACACTCTTCCTACTGAGCTGTTCGCTCCTGTTTACCTGTCTGGACCCCTGTAGACTCAGAGCCACTTGAGGACGGGCCCTGAGCTGCTCTCACTCACTGATAGCTCAGCACATGTGTTCGTGAGGTCTACTCCATGCCAGCTACCAGGCGCCGCGCTGGGATCACGAGTTATAATAAGGCCCAACCACTCAGCTCCGGAAGGCTTGTTCACTCTCATCCTAGGACACTACTGAGAATCTTACCTGCAGGGGGGTCAGGGCCTCCACCCCAGCTTCACCTGCTGAGAGACACCAAGAGAATCTAATCAGCAACCAGGCAAGGCTCCGGAAACTGCGCCCCTCAGCACCCACTCCCAGCGCTCCCTGCCTCAGTTTCCCCCACTGCATCAGGCTGAATGGGCTCTAGGCTACCCATCCTGACCCCAAGCCTCTAGGAATGTGGGCGCGCGCGCACACGTGCGCTTACCAGGAATTATGGCCTTGCAAAGCTGGCAGCGGCGGTATGTGTAGGTCAGGGTGGCACCAAGCAGGAGTGGGACCACCAGGGCTGCCAGGAGCACCTGGACCCAGAACACTGAAAGAGCAGCTGGTGGGTGGCGGGTGGTAGCCATCCCCCACCCTCCCCTCGGCCCATCCCAGCTCTCCCACCGGCGTTTCCATTTTACCACCTACCCTGCCTCCAGCCACAGACAGCCACACAGGGCACAGGACAGTCCCCAAGGGTGCTCCTGCAAGGGGAAGGGATGCGGTGGAGGGTGAGGGAGTACACACCGGGGGGACGGGGTGGGACTGCTCAGGACCACCTGACATCTTCTCCGTCCTGGAGGCCCTTCCCTCAGAAAAAGTGCCCAAGCTGTTGACGCAAAAAGACGCTGCTTATTTGCATGCCTACTTACATATATTTGCATGTTCGTTGAAAGTCAAAGTGTGCAGCGCTCTCCCCAGCCCCGTGGGTGGTGACCTTGGTTTCCCGCGGGTCGCGCGCCCTGCTGCCGCCCCCTCCCCTGCACCCCGGAACCCGCGTCGCTGGCGCATCCTGGGCGGAGGCAGGCCCCGCGCTCGGGGAAGGGGTTTTCCTCTCTCCCTGACCCAGATCAGCGCCCGGCCCAGCCCCGGCCGCATTTCCCATCCCCGCCGAGGGTTTCCTCTCAGTCATTTGTTTACCAGAAACGATGAAAACTGCAAACTGCCCGTCGGGACAGAGCTGCCGCTCCCGGCGCCCCACCTCCAAGTCTGCGCGCCGTCCCCAGCCAGGCCCCGCACTCCCCGGACGCTTTCACGGTCCTGGTGGAGTGAGTGGAGGACGAGGGATCCTGAAGCTGTGTCTCCAACTGCTGCCTCCCCGGTCCCCGCCATCTCGCACCGCATTAAAGCTCTCTCAGCCGCCCGGGGCTCACGCTCGCTCTAACTCGTCGTCACCGCGACTTCCTGTCCTCGGGGTAACTGGGCCACGGCGGAGCCGGAGGGGCAGGCTTGGGCTAAGGGCCACACTGGCCTCCGCCGTGGGTGGCAAGACTTCTGGCCCTTTCGACGCCCCTGGGAAAACCAAGCCTGGGCCACTTAACACCCCCAGTCCCGCGGAAACACCAAGCAGCAGCTTTTCTTCATAGATTTTAATAATACCAAGGCCTCAGCCAAACACAGGCCGAGAAACAGCTGATGGTCGTTGGCGCTTCCTCGCCTTAACTGGAACCCTGGGGGCGCGCAGGGGTGATGCTGGCTGGCGCTGCTACGCAGGGCCGTGCCAGGGGCTTAATAAGTGACATTAAATGTCTACACGCATAAGTAACCGTACTTAGGGCTTCTGCAAGGGCCACCAGAGCCTCGAAGTGGCGGGTGGGCCCCGGCGTCACGGGCCACGCTGCAGGCGGCTCCGCAGGTCCTCGGCGCAGCCGTCCAGCCCCATGCGCTCCAGGGCGGCGTAGACGGCGCCCAAGCCCGCGGGCTGCTGCTGGCGCCAGCGCTTGAGCATCTCGTACTGCTGGTCGCGGAAGCGCCCGACCTCCACCTCCACCGCCTCGATCTCCGCCTCGCGCAGCCCCAGCGTGCGCACGAACTCCTTCCAGCGCCGCGCGGGCACCGCGTCCATCACGGCGTAGAGCTGCGGGCCCGGCTGGAGCATGGCGGCCGCCGAGCCTGCAGGGGGCGCCGGCGAGGGCGGGGGCGGCGGGCCTGCGGCCAGAGAGAGCCAATGGGGAATGTGGGCAGGGGCCAAGGGGCAGGGGCCCCGCCGGGCAGGGAGGTCCGCCTGGTCAGTTAGGGGACGGGAAGTGGGCAAGTGGCCTCCAGAAAGCACAGCTTATTTATCACCTTGGACTCAGGAGAATGGGGTCAAGGCCTCAGGCCCCTGAAATCCCTTACCAAGACCTCTGCTGGGCAGCTGGTCCCAGGACCATGTCACCTCCGGGCAGGGGGCCTCCTGGGCCTGGGGAGAGCCAGAGGTCCAGCTGCTGCCTATCAGCTGGATGGTGCAGACCTTCTCACTGCTGCTGGGTGTTACAAGAAGGGTGGGGCTGCTGTCCGGGGCTGAGAGGTGGGTGGCCTGGAAGCCAAGAGAGGCCCCAGGTCAGCCTCGCTTGCCTGGCTCTAGGGTCTCTGGCCAGGGGTGGGCATCCCTGGCTCAGTCAGCAAACATCACCCGGTGGCACCTCCCCCGGTGGCCGTGCTCTCTCACTGTGACCCAGCAGAAGAGCTATCCTGCCTGGAACGCCCTGCCCCTGCTGCCCTCTCCTTGTTCCGCCAATCCTGGTAGAGGCCTCACCGTGGTGACACTCTTCCTACTGAGCTGTTCGCTCCTGTTTACCTGTCTGGACCCCTGTAGACTCAGAGCCACTTGAGGACGGGCCCTGAGCTGCTCTCACTCACTGATAGCTCAGCACATGTGTTCGTGAGGTCTACTCCATGCCAGCTACCAGGCGCCGCGCTGGGATCACGAGTTATAATAAGGCCCAACCACTCAGCTCCGGAAGGCTTGTTCACTCTCATCCTAGGACACTACTGAGAATCTTACCTGCAGGGGGGTCAGGGCCTCCACCCCAGCTTCACCTGCTGAGAGACACCAAGAGAATCTAATCAGCAACCAGGCAAGGCTCCGGAAACTGCGCCCCTCAGCACCCACTCCCAGCGCTCCCTGCCTCAGTTTCCCCCACTGCATCAGGCTGAATGGGCTCTAGGCTACCCATCCTGACCCCAAGCCTCTAGGAATGTGGGCGCGCGCGCACACGTGCGCTTACCAGGAATTATGGCCTTGCAAAGCTGGCAGCGGCGGTATGTGTAGGTCAGGGTGGCACCAAGCAGGAGTGGGACCACCAGGGCTGCCAGGAGCACCTGGACCCAGAACACTGAAAGAGCAGCTGGTGGGTGGCGGGTGGTAGCCATCCCCCACCCTCCCCTCGGCCCATCCCAGCTCTCCCACCGGCGTTTCCATTTTACCACCTACCCTGCCTCCAGCCACAGACAGCCACACAGGGCACAGGACAGTCCCCAAGGGTGCTCCTGCAAGGGGAAGGGATGCGGTGGAGGGTGAGGGAGTACACACCGGGGGGACGGGGTGGGACTGCTCAGGACCACCTGACATCTTCTCCGTCCTGGAGGCCCTTCCCTGCCGAGAGCCTCACTCTACCCAAGAATGTTCCCCAAGTACTGCTGAAACGTCACTGGTGTCCATAACATAACAACAAACACTACTTACTGAGCTTTTCTAGACTAGACTGAGGGTCACCAGAATGTCAGCTCTGGGATTTGCCCTGTTTTGTTCCCTGTTGTTTCCCCAGCACCTAGAATGGTGTCTGGAAATGATAGAAGCTCAAGAAACACTTGTGGAGCAGATGCGTGGATAAAGTTAGTCACCCCTTAATCAGAGCCCTGGGGAGAGCCACTAACACTCCCACGTGCAGATGGGGAGGCCACAGATTGGAGAGGGGAAGTAACTCGCCCAAGATCCCTCCGAGAACAAGGGGCAGATCTTGAGTCTCAGCCCAAGATTTGAAACTATATTAACGTGACTCTCTGTAAGTGACACATCCTATCCTTAACACAGGGCTGGAAGGATTACTAAAGGAAAGTATGACATAAAATGAAGATATGCCCCCTTATTTATCTGACATAAGGTGAATTCAAATTTCTCTTTACCATCCAGTGTTTGCCTGAGGTGGGACCCACTTACCATAGGGTCAAGCCCCCTCCTCCCTGACCCTCGACCCCCACTCTGTTCCCAGCCTCCCTTCCCCCAGCCCAGGGCAGCCAGGAAGTTACGTGGGACAGGACACGCAGCTGTTGCCATATTCATAGAAGCCGGGCAGGCAGGTCCCACAGTGAGTGTCTCCGCTGGAACCTGTGGTCCGGGAGATGGTGTGGGTCAGGACGGGAGAGGAGGCAGGGGAAGGCGGTGTGGGAGCAGACGGCCCAGATCGGGGGTACCCACAGGGGGCCCGCGTGCGGCGGTGCAGGGCCTCACAGTCTGGGCACGGGTGGCAGCGAAAGGGAGAGCTGTGGGGACACTGGCTGACGACGCAGTCCATGAACCAGCCTGGCTTGCAGCCGCAGTGGGTGTCTGCCACCGCCGAGCAGTTCTTCAGGGCCACCTGGGAGGCTGGCGGGGGAGATGGGGGAGAGCAGAGGCTGTCAGAGCCAAAGAGCCCCACAGAGAGGCAGGACAGGTCCCCTGGAGAATGGAGATGAGGAGACCAGAGACAGGGCCACCCCCAAAGTGAGAGAAATGTGGAGATCACCACAGAGCAGAGGCTGGAAGGTCACCAGGATGAGAGGGCACAAAGGCATCCTGAGGCAGGATCAGCGTAGCGGGCCCCAGGGTGGGGTGGGCACAGGGCTCTCCCAGCCAAAGGCTGGGCTCGAGCCAGCCACTTTCTTCAGAAGGACCCCGGCCAGGGCCTGTCCTCCAGAGACGCCCTGCCCCCAAGCACCAGGCAGCCCCGCACCTTCCTCATCACAGGCCTGGCAGCGGGCACAGCGGGTCTTGTGGTGGTTCTCCCAGGCCAGGAAGGTGCCCCGGGGGCACGGGAGACAGGTGGAGATGCCACAGGGCTTTGTGCAGGGGGCCTTCAGGTAGTGCCCTGTGGAACCCAGCCTGGGGTCAAAGAGGGCTGCCACCTTCCTATCCCGGGCTCCCGACTTCCCTCCCAGCCTCCCCTCGCCCCATCCCTGGCCTGCCTACCACCACTCCCCAGCCCTCCTGACCCCCGCCTGCCCCATCGGCCCTCACTTCCCGCCACGTCCCTCCCACCCCTTCAGCCGCTCACCTGCTGGACAGCCCCTGCAGCAGACCTGACCACTCCTCTTCTGGAAGCTGTGCACACAGTCACACCTGGGGCTGGGAGTGCTGCCCTGGCCCTGGGCACCCAGCAGCAGGAGGAGGGCCTGGGGGACAGGGGCTGCTGGCTCCCAGCCTGGCTGCCCAGGCGGGGGGCTCTCTCTACCCGGTCTCCCCAGCCTTCAGCACTTGCCCACAGAGCAGCCCACTTCTCAGGTTCTTGCCCCAAAGGGGTGCCCATCGGTGGGGCTCTGGACTAACTTCCTTCCCCTGTGCACAGACCAGGCTTGGGAGGGGCAGAGAAGAGGGTTCCCGCCAGCCCCTCTCTCAAGGCTGGGCAGCAGGCGGTCCCCACCCCCACCCACGCCCTTGCTAAGGTGGGGACCCCAGATCCCTCCCGCCCCGAGAGGGTGTTTCCTCTCGGCGGAAGGGCCCCACCCCGCCTCAACCTCTAACTAGGTCGGAAGAGGGGCCGGCCCAGCCCCCAGCGAGGCAGGATCGGAGGCTCCTATCCCCACCCCCACCCCATCCCCGCGTCCCCTTCCTCCTCCGCCTCGGGGACTCAGGCCCCGGCCAGGCTCGAGGTCGTGACCCCGCGACCCCACTCACCGCAGCCAGCGCCGCCGCACACGCCCCGGGCCGCGGCTCCATGGCCCTGGGCGCCACGCTGGGCCCTCGACCCGACCCGGGCTTCCCCGCTCCGCCCGCCGCGGCGCCCGCAGGACCGCCCCGCCCACCCCGCACCGCCCGAAGAGCCCGCCTAGGGGGAGGGGGAGGGGGAGGGCGCGGGGCGGGGCCGCCGGTACCAGGAAGCGAGGCCCCAGGCCGAGGCCCGCACCTGAGCTCACCTGAGGCGGTTGGTGGGCAAGTTGCACACAGCACAGGGCTGCAGCCAGGTCCCACGCCTGGGTTCTAGCTTCAGCCCTGAGACCACCGCTTCCTAGGGAGGCGACCTCCCCTCTCTGGGCCTCAGAGCCCGCCCTCAGCCATGAGGGGTTGGGTCAGAAGTATCCAGGTGGGAGACCCACCCTCCCCACGTGCTGAGCGGCATCCCCCCCCCCCC